AATACATACATCATACTCGTATAACGAATTACAAATTTTATTAATAAGTAAATCATTAAGTAAATTAACAATTTGTAATGTATGCAAAATATTTTTTAGTTAACCGTTTTGTTAATAAATAAATCATTAAGTCAATTAATGATATGAGAAATAATTTTCAATAAAATTCTTTGATAATTTATTATTGCATAGGAGAATTCCCCCTCCCCCCTCCCCCAAAGTATTGTGTTAAATGAAAATTTACAAAAACAGTAGTAATTTATAGTATTATAAGATCAATTCTTATTTTAAACAAACCTTATGGGTGTATTTGTAATTTGTTAAAAAATAAAATATTTATGTTTCATAATTGACCAAGAATATTTACGTAATTATGAAAAAACATATTTCATGATTGACCAAGAATGTTCAAATAATTACGAAAAAACATGTTGCATAATTGACCAAAAAATGTTTGCTTAATTACAAAAAAAACTTTCACTCAAAATGTAAGCCACCATTAATAAATTATTCAAAATGAAAGGACAAAATCGAAAAGAAAAGACGAATCTCAAACAGTTAAGCAGTTCTTATATATATATATATTTAAAATTCTATTTATATTGACATATTTTTACCTAATTAGTCTATATATTATAGTGAACTTGATTGCATTTAATAATTTTTCACATAAAATAAATCTTATTAGTTTTAATTTGTATTGGTTGTATTTAAATTTGAGTTGAACTTTACCATAGTATTCATAATTGTTGACATATATTAAATAATTTTTTATTTTTTATTTGTGTTACGTTTAAATGTTAAAGACTTATTTATTTTATTTATTATTGATTGATTCACTTATTTTTGTGTAATGAAATCATGGTTCCAACCTGAATCAACCCAACCCAGCTTACATTGAGTTGGGTTGGGTTGAATTGATTTTAGTGTATGATTGATTTGGTCTTGGGTGTAAAAACTTGGAACAATTACGATTAGATTGATTCCAAAATTTAGTGTCGATACAAATCAAACCGATTCATAAACAATCTTAAATGTAATTATATCCAAGTTAAAAAAATTACTATATATTTTCTTTTAGATAACAGAAAAGATGATATAATTTATTCATTTTTTTTTTTTTTGGAGTAAATAATATTTTTGAAAAAGAATTTAATGCTATAATATTCCTCTCATTATTGCAACCCCACGGGAAATACGTGCATGTTGGGCATGCTTTAATGTTATAAGTAGCATTGAAGATGGCTCAGGTTCAGTGGTACAACCCTGGTAACAAAAATGTCACCAATGGGCAAAATCGTCCCGTTAATCTGGTGAGATTCCACTGCTCGAAATTAATACATTGATGCTGCGTTTAGTTGAGATATTTAAAAAGAAATTTAGAAAGAAAAATAGAAAATATAGGTAAAATGTGAATAAAATATATCTACATTTCATATAATTTCATACATTTTTTCTCTTCTTTTTTTTCTCCAAATCTCTTGCTAAATCCCCCAACCTAACATAACTTGAGAGAAACCAAATGAGAAAGTTATTAAGGTCTCTCAAGGTTAAATAAATATAAGGGCAACTATATAAAAAAATACATAAATAAATAAAAATTAGAGTTTGAGTCTTTTAATAAAATAAATCACAAGTTTTTAATTTTGTCATTTTAAATTATAATATTTTGATTTATTTTCAATCCAAATTATTTGTCTATTTTCATTACGTAAAATTAATAAAGATAGAGTATTTTAACCATTAATCTCACTGTAAATATACATAAAATATCTAAAATAAATTTTTTATTTTTTGAGTTAATGATTAAAATATTTTTTCCGTCAATTTTAGTTAAGGAAAATGAACAGATGGTTTATATTGAAACCAAACCAAAAGATTAAGATTCAAATTATTCAGAATTTATTTTGTCATAACTCTTAAACCTTGAGATTTTTTTTTTTATTTTTATTTTTTGTAATTTCTCTATTTTTTTTTTTTTTC